GATTAGTGATACCGAGGTTCAGGGAAAGTCGGCTTCGAAATATTACTATGCTTTGTGCTAGCTGATAACAACACCGACTTCTGCACGATGTGCGCAATGATGTATGTCCGGAAGAAAAACTTGTTGTTATCACTGGACATTATCATTATATCGACCATCAGCATCGTGTATAAAAGGGCATCACTGAGTAAGGATGCCTCATTCGAGGAGATGGCTCACTGAAGAAGACCGAACTCGACACGAAGGCGAAGCTGCCACGTCGAGGCGAATAACAAGCGTGGACCATCGACTCGGATCATCGGCTCTGAGGAAGACGAAGACGTCGAAACGTTAGCCGAAAATAAACATCATTATCAACCTCGTGTAAGCTCATCAAAGAAAGAATACGTATTTCTTCCTTATGTTTTCCAAGTCTCAGCGACTAAACTATTTTGTTGTCGAAGAATCATCGATAGGTATTGAAAAACTAATATTGTCCATCATACTTTAAAAACTTACACCATCAAGTTTATGCATATCCTGATGACTTGGTCATTTGAAAAGTGGTTGTCCCTTCTCCCCTTGAGGAATATCGTGTGACTGTTGTGCAGAAAAGTTGATGAATTTAAAAAGTTCAATTTAAATCCTACCTTAGACTCCCTTAAGTGTGCACAGAAGTATTCCAGTCGTTCGTTAACATTTATTTTTTGTATTAACGTTACAAATCTCACATCTTACTCAAAGCAGATTTTGTGCATGGTTTATTAACAAAGACAAAGCATAACGAAAATTTCTTCTTAATTTCTTAGTTTATTTTGGTTCTTTTCTTTGCCACTAAGTGTTAATAAGATATTTTATGGAAGTTGGATAAGATGTGAGTAGTCACTTTATAGGAATTGAGCACTGGTATTCTTCTTGGGCACTAATTTTTTTAACTCTTGAGATGTGTTAAATTTATACATCACACGTCCTTTCCTTGCAAGCTATTATTCCAATAGTTCTTTACAAATCACTGCTATTGAGGTATTAGAATGTAAAGTCGTTGTGTTAACTTTTTCCTTGGGAAATGAATTGGAACCTTTAACATTGTGAATTTGGTAATTAAGATGTGGATAGCACAGTGGTAGTGATGTCGGTTACCACAAGCACGGTTCTGGTTCGTTCCCGCTCCGGGCTCACCAGCCTCTCTTCTCTCTGGAGTTTGGGGGTTGCTGCCGGGTTTGTCTGGGAATAATTCATGCTCTTCAATCCAGATGTAAACGCTCTACCTCGGCTATCTTAGGACTCTAGGGAGAATCGACTCGAACATCATTCTACGATATTCAAGATTGAACGAAAATCCTCAAGAAAGAGCGAAAGCCACACTTAAAGACTCGAAGAACTTAGTGGATGATGAATACGTGGAAACGAATCGAATGTGAAATGTTCTGGGATCCGTACAGTAGGTGTGTAGGAGAGTCGTATAAACAAAAAAATTGGTAATTATACAACTGTAGTGGTCTTATTCCTTAGTGTTCGTTTTATGAGGCCAGCCTAATGGTTTCTGTAGAAAGGTTTTAAGTGATTTTTAGTACCACCAAAACTTTCATTTTTTGATGATGCTGAGATATTTGCAAAATTTGGTCACCAGGCCGTATCATTTTTGTATTTTTATCGGCAGTGGAGTACTTGCTTCTCTAAAGTGGTACGATAAGTAGCTGCACGTACAGAGCATTCGTCGAGTAGACAAGCTTTTGTCTTCGATCTGTCGGATAAAGTCTTAAAAGTTTTAGAAGCCTACAAAAAAAATTTCTGCGGAAAATGCTATTATGTTCTGATGTTTTACAGTCGATAAACCTCTGTGATGTTTTTTACTGCTGTTAAAAGAGTTTTAGAGCTAAATCTATACATCTATCTGCAAAAGAACATATTCGAATGTTGATACACCTATTTCGAAGCAGCAAGTTTTAACACCTAATCTGCATATTTCGTATAAGTTTCAAATATACGATCTGTACTTGATCAAGCGGTTCAAGCTGTATGTTACAGTAACGTCTTGTCGATACGTGAAGAGCCCAAGTTTGTCCTTTTAGAGTCCTGAAGCCTTATGAGCAGTGATCGTTGTTCTTCATTCTGTGCGCTTCGTTTCCTGCGGAAATTACCTCTTATTTACCAGTTGTCGTTAAGATGCATAAGGTGTTCACCTAATTTTTGACATCTTGCTGTACATGACGACTTCTTACACCGTTGGCCATTGACCCAGGAATCGAGTTTTCGGTTCCTTTTTCTAAGTTGGATGATGCGGGCAATCCTAAAAGTACCATCTCTATAGCGATATTGAGCACACTGACCGATACTTCATTCTTCTCACGTATCCAGATTTTCGAGGCGTACATTTAGACAGCGAGAATATCAAAGGCAAAATGTGAGACCTCTCGAGTGTTATTTGTTCTCTTCAATATGAATGTGTCGTTTTCTTGTTCAGCAATCGCGAGGTTTTTAAACAGCATACATTTACTTCCATAAAAACACAATACAATACAACGCTAGCTGACGTTTCGGCAGTATCGCCTTCTTCAGAGCCTGGAAGGGTATACTGATATACAATCTACTAGGCCAAACGCTTCAATAACACAAAAAGACGAAAGACTTCGGTAATTAAATGATCAACAACTTCTCGAAAAACCCACCGCTTTTTCGTGACTTTCAATGAGGAAGTTTAGAACAGCTGATTATAGTCGCATGTGGTTGACGACTGCACCATCCCACATCAAAAATCGAGGCGAACGTACGGGATCAGGTCGCGTATAACCTCCGGGCATTCATCCCTGCTATTCATTGTAGGGTTTTTGGCATTGATCCAAAAAGCCTCTAGGAGTTTTCGCGCTGGTGTTTTGGACTCCTGTGCAAGGATATTGACTTTTACTTCAAAATCGCAAAATCTCTTCAATATGCTCGATGCGTTTATCTCCGAGCTGCTCATTCCCTTCTGTTGAGATCTGGAGCCTAGACACACATAGCTCGTCCCTTTGGAAATATTCCTCTCATTGAGCGTAAATGAGGGATTAGTAATGAATTCTGTCCTCATAAACATCGCTTTCTTGGGATTCAATCGAAAACTAATCTTTCAACGAGCTCCTTAGAACTTGATCAGCATTCGTTTACCTTAAGCAATGCTTCAAGTTTTAGGAACAGTACTACCACCAAAGCCTAGGTTGTCAGTGATCGATTTTCAATACCATGTTATCCTTTTTCAGAATCCACATTTTCGTTATCGAAATTAGGTGTAAACGATTTTGGCACGTTGGTATCAGCATGTTGAACTGGTCTTTTATCATTAACTTAGGTGGTTCATTAATCTTCAATCCGTTGGCGCCGTTCTAACGTTATTCAGTCGCTGTCGTGTAGTCAATCTAGGCGTTGAAACTACCAGAGAAGACCTTATAAAAGGCATGATCTCTGCAGAATTCCTTCTCCAAGTTCGTGTAGAACGCATCGATGTCGTGTTCTGCATAGCTAAAGTGTGGATGACGACAACTAAGAAAGCGCAACTTTTTCAACCGTGAAAGTCCGACTTTTGTCGTTAGCTTTCCAAAGAAATGCTATTTATGGCCAAGCTCATAGTGACAAGAATACTAAGTACCCCGATCCTTCCACCATCATATCCCAGACTAAGCGCTGTTCCCGGTTTTCGATAAACTTCGCACGTGGTCGTTATATATTTAGTCTTACCAGCATACCCCGTCGGTTCCTTTACGGCGATCTCATTTGGCAGTGTTGCAAGTGCAAATCGTAACATTTAGAATATGACGTTGAGGGTTTAGCTATCTCTTCTTATCGTGCTATGCAACACAACCGTATCGGGTATCGGGATCAGAAGGATGAGACCTATTATTTTTGCTGTTTTTGACCATCAATCCTTTTGAGACCATACGCGTTGACTTCAACATGTATGTTTGAGTATATTAGGGGTCATATACATTGATTTCGATGTCCACTCATTTCACTGATTTCTTTCGCCACAGGGCTTCTCTGCCACACTTGTTGTAGTCACTCAATAACTTTTCCAAAACAGATGTCCAGCAACAATAAATACTATAGTAACGACGTCATGTCTGCTCGTCAAGAAAACAGTAAGTTATTGGTCAATGCCTTGAGATAGAAGATTGTGAGGAAAGGCTGCTGTGCACATAGAAATGTATAGGAAAATAACCATTTTTCGAATGAGATTTATCGTATGGGACGTGTACGACCATGCCGAATCAGGCTCAAAACACGCTGGGAAACACTTTCAAGTGTTGACAGCGCTGTGTTTGCAATATAGTAAATAGTAATTTAGTACGTATTAGCTTAAAAACCATTCATAGCTATGGGACGATAGCAAGCTCTCCTATATAATTCTTTCATGTTCTTGATCCTTCAAGTCTTCCCTTTATCCAAAAATTATCACCTGTTGTCAAAAAACAAGCATGCCATTAACAGCCGAAAATCAAGGCTTGCGGCGCGCTAGACAAAAAATTCGGCACGATTACGAAAGGGTCAATGCCCGCTGGAAGCTTACAGAGCTGAGGTGCGGCTGCATTTACTCATGGATTTGTTGCCGTTTTCTGAAAAAAACGTACAGCTTATTTCTTGTAGGTGACTTCTAACTACCTCACCTATGCTTCGCACTCAATTGCTTGCATGCTTGTAGCCGAATCAACGCATAGGTTTCTGTTTACACATAAGAAAGCACTCCCCCTAATCATGATTGAATGTGTCTACGTATATACAGAAGTTATACTTCAATCTAGATTGGCAGAAAAACTCCCCCAAATTCACCTGCATATCTCTTTTGCACAGGGTCACTTTTGGTCGTCGTTTAACCCCAGGTTTGCCGTCCGAAACGCGCAAGGTAGCCCTGAGACTAAACTGCTAGCCAGCTAGGATTCTTCGCTAGGAGAGGCCCATAGCCGTGTTTAATAAGTTAACAAGTGTTATAAAAATTTATGTATGATCCATAGGAATCTAGTGTTTTTATACGTTAATGTTAATTTCGCTTCATGTTCAGATGTTGCCGAATGTTGTTTGGCAGGCGCCGTGTCTTACACTCACGTACTGTAAGAATTGGGTACGGTCCAGTTGGTGGTGACAGTGGTTCTGGATTTGCCCCAAACAAAGTTTGCAATCAGAAGTACAACATTTTCAGTTTCGTGCCACTGGTATGTTTGAGTAACACTTAGTTTTTCCAAACCTATTACAACATAGTTCTTATTTTGTGTAGAATTTCCGACCAATATGTTCATGAAATATTCAAAATTCTAAACTTAAAAATGTGTTAGAGCAACTTTTAAAAATATTTCAGCGCTCTTTAGAGTCCTCACATCTGATTTTCATATGTGGGAATCTTTTAAGGTCCTCTTTCAACAGTTCAAGTTCTTTTTGAATTTGTACTTTTTGTTGATGGCATGCAGTCAGTTTATACCCGCTATCCAAATTGGAGCTCCTATTACCTATTGGGGTCCTCTTGTAAGTTTCTCTGTTCCAGATTTCTTCCTTGGAGTGAAGTTTTTTAAATCAAGTTCTGTTTCATTCGTTTTGTACAGGGGTTTGTATTAACGATAACACTAATTCGTGAAGCACTGGATGATTTCGTACGTTTTTTGCGAGATAAAGAGCTAAATGGTGAAAAGTACGAACGGCTTACGAGAGATGGTACAAGAGTGGAGGTGAACAGCAGGTTTGATCTTTGTTAGTCTACCACGTATGTAAAAAGTTATTTGTTTTTGCCACAAAGTTTTCAAGCTTCTTTTTACGTAGGCGTAACATCGTGACCAATTGCAATTTCCACGTGTTTTCCTTTTAGAGTCATCAGTAGCTAATAACGAATACTTTAATTTCATGTGATGTTTTTCACGTACGCCACACTTCCTGGTTTTATTAGAATTGTTTGAAGGAATATAGAAAACCAATCACCTGTATCAGCTGCAGTCCCATTGATTGTAGAGTAACTCGAGCGGGCGCCAGTAAATCATCCATTTTTCCCTGTTGCGTGCAGAAATAGCCTATAGGGTTCTGCTCGCTTTAAGGGTACTAGTTGAGCACCATAACCTTCTTATAGATAGAATGCCTATACTAAGAATAAATTGTTCGTAACAAGCTCTAAATTATTTCGTATTACACCGGATTGTCAGATTTTCCTATGACACATAACCGTTTTCAGTGATATTGAGGTGGGCGACGTCATTATAATAGGTAAAGATCGACGTGTACCTGCTGATGTGGTTCTCTTACGTACCACCGAGAGATCAGGAGCATGTTTCATCCGTACTGATCAGTTAGATGGTGAAACTGATTGGAAGCTGCGTGTTGCTGTTCCATTTACACAGCATCTTATGAGTGAAGCTGTGAGTTAGCTCACTTGTCGACTTTCTTAGGCCGGTAATTTGAGAACTTTCCCATTAGACTGCATTGTATGGAATATTTTCAGGAAATCATGGAAATTAATTGCGAAATTTATGCGGAGAAACCTCAGAAAGATATCCATGCCTTTGTCGGAACGTTTAAGGCAAGACTGTTATCATCAGTGAGAAAACCTTCGCTTATTTAAGCGCGTTTAGGTAACCACCGATGATCAAGTGCAAGATGGATCGTTGAACGTTGAGAATGTGTTGTGGGCAAATACTGTTCTTGCTAGTGGAACTGCCGTCGGAATAGTTGTATACACAGGAAGAGAAACCCGCTCAGTAATGAACACCACCTTACCAGAAAGTAAGGTCGGTTTGTTAGATCTTGAGGTTAGTTATAGAACTTTTCTAGTTACCATGCAGTACAATTTGTGCATTTTTTATTTTACATCAGGTTAACAATCTAACGAAGTTACTTTTCGTATTTGTAATGGTGCTAGCCTCTGTAATGGTTATTATGAAAGGAGTAGATACCAACTGGTATCGTTACCTCATGCGTTTCGTCCTCTTGTTTTCGTATATCATCCCAATTTCGTTGAGAGTGAATCTTGACATGGCTAAGGTTTGCCTATTGATATTGCCATCATGTATGTTACAAGTTTATTATCAATGGTCACAGTTGGTTTACGCTTGGCAAATTGGACGCGATAAACAAATTCCGGAAACAGTCGTACGTTCGTCAACAATACCTGAGGAACTTGGGCGAATATCTTTCCTGCTTTCTGACAAAACGGGTACACTCACGAAAAATGAGATGCACTTCAAGAAGGTGTGATTGCTAGTTTTTAACGTGAAGTTTTTCTCAGTATACTGTCTATCTACAGATCCATCTTGGTACGGTGGCGTTCAATTCAGATGCTTTTGAAGAAGTTGCCCAACATGTTGCCAGTGCTTATTCTGGTCGACTGGCAAGGTATACTTTTTCTGTCATTTATTCATTATAAGGAGCTGTTGTGTTTGAGAGAATACATCCGGTTAGAAGCGAAAACACGTTATGTGTGCTTTAATGAAAAAAGGGTTAAATATTTGCTGAAGGGAATGTTATATATATATACATATATACTTGGATACTTGGACGGTCCGTCTTTACGAGCTGTGCGGACCTCAGCACATATGCCATTCGTTCCTTTCTCTCGCAATCGCAGTCCATGGTGGTGGTCTTGTTCGAGCATGGTAGCGCAGGTGAGTCTCATACCGTCGTCCATCTGTCGTCTGTTCTCATTATATGACCGGCATATCTATGTTTCGCTATCGATGTATATTCTCCTGGATCTCGAAGATGTGACAGATTTCGAAGGTCAGAGCTTCGCATTCCGGCTACATATTGAGAGTGCCGGTTACATTTCAGAAGACATCGCTCTGTGAGTATTTCGAAGCATTCTTGACGTAGTTGAAGTATCAACCTACGTCTCTGCAGCATAACGGAGCGCTAGGAGGACCGTAGAATCAAAGAAATGAGCGCAGATTTTCGGGTCCCTCAGTTGGCTTTTTGAGAGGCTCTAATGTGGCCCAAGCTGCTCTCCTTCTATCTAGTTCCTCCTTCATGTTGTTTTCCATGTTCATTGATCTCCCAAGGTAAACGTACGAGGTGGTCTCTGCAATGAGAGAGCCATCCAATTTAATTTTTTCGCCTTCGCACCATGGTTTTTTCATGAACTGGATCTTCTTTCGGGTTTATGCGAAGTCCGATCTTTTTCCCCGCTTCGTTGAGCTCGTTGATCACCTATGCTTCGCTAGTACTTCTTGAGAAGGTGACAATGTCGTCGGCAAAATGAAGGTTTGATAGGAATTGCTTGCTGCTTGAAATCCTGCTTGCTCGACTGGTTGTGCCTCATCCAATGTCCTTGATATGCGCGAGAGGATAGTCTTCATGAAGAGCTTGTAGAGTGCACTTAACAAGCATATGGACGATAGTTACGAAGATCCCTTCAGTTTTTCTTGGGCAGGATAACCGTGGGCGACGTATATATATATATGTATATATATATATAAATATGTGTATATATATATATATATATGTACACGTTCATACACACACACATATATATGCATGTATATGCACTTTTTCAAAGGGTTTTCTCGTTTTCTCTGCCATGAACTAAAGCGTTCTTTTAGATATTCATTTTCGGCGAAACTTCAGATGGCAGTGGAAGCTATTGCTTTATGTCATAATGTAACACCTATATCTGAAGGAGGGAGTGTTTCTTACCAAGCCGCTAGTCCCGACGAGGCAAACTTTTCAAATTATTTCGTATTGGAATAGTTTGTGTCGTTTCACTCAACTTGTTTTTCGATTATATATTTGATAATCAGGTCGCCCTCGTCAAGTGGGCAGAAACTGTTGGAGTTAGATTAGCTCAACGCGATCTGCATTCTATTCAACTGCAGCTTAATATAGGGCAAACGCGACAGTTTCAGGTATGTATGCTTTTCTGTGGATAAATATCTCAGGGTGGAAAGTTATGCAAAGTTTACACAAAATTCCTTTTTTTCTAAGATGGTAATCACACTTGATACTTGATACTTTAACGGCCCGTCCTCATTGGTTATGCGGACCCCAGCACAATCACCATTTTTCGGGGATTTGCTAGCTAAGCCATTGTGGTTCTGTGGATTCCTGAGGTCAGCCTGGCCAGAGTCTGCCCCAGATCGTTACCACCTCAAGCAATCACCGCCTTTGTGGATCAGAGGAATATTTAATACCATCCGTCTTTGTTACCAGGACGGTGGTGGATCCTGTTATTGGTTCACCCTTAGCTGGGTTTCCTATTGGAAGCCCCGGACTCCTCACCTTGGGAGACTGTCTGGGGACGAATCTCCCCGCTGTACATCGCAGTCCAACACCCAGGAACACCTCCCAGCCGCAATGAGGCGGTAAACCGTTGGGAGGAGGTGATAATCATAAGGATAAAATTTGTTGCCTTAGTTAATTGCATGGAAATATATGGCCTAATTTGTAAGCAGTCTAAAAATCCAATACGCCTGTTTCGGTTTTATCAAATTGGTGGATATACAATGGGTAACTACCCACCTAGTGAAGCTTGCCATATGCGATGTAATTACTTTTTAATTCCTACCTGTACCGTTTATTTGAACAAGTAAACTGATTGCTTGTATTTTTTAGATTTTGCATGTCTTTCCGTTCACTAGCGAAACGAAACGTATGGGAATAATTGTGAAGGTTATAATAGTTTTTATCCATATTTACTCATTTAATTTTGGCATAGTGCTTAAATATACGTTTTGTTCAGGATGAAACAACGGATGAAATTTCATTGTTAATGAAAGGTGCGGATACCGTTATGGCAGGCATGGTGCAATACAATGATTGGCTCGAAGAGGAGTGTAGTAACATGGCTCGCGAAGGTGTGCTGTTGTTACGAAGTTGTCTCTCTTAATTATTTGATAGAATTCAGTATTCAGGTCTGCGGACTTTGGTGGTGGCTAAGCGTGTTCTATCCGCTGCTGAGTTAGAAGCTTTTGATCGTGCATACCATGCTGCTAAGATGTCTATTACTGAGAGATCGCAAACCATGCAAAGCTGTGTGAATCGTATGCTTGAGAAGGACCTTCAGCTTTTGTGCTTGACGGGTGTTGAGGACAGATTACAGGTTTATTGTCTTTTCAGTTGGCTCAGTTCTGCAGATCATTCGATATCAACTTATTATTTACTTCCTACTCTTTTTTTAATGGCAGGGTATATTGCGAAATATAACTTCAATGATGCTGAGATATTTGCAAAACTCCGGACCGCAGGTGTGTGCGGTGGAGAACGAACGCGCTATTGCCCTTTCCGGGAGTAACGCGCTCACCACCGCACCATGCGGGTTCCTCGTTTTGCCTGTCTCTTAGCTAGTTCTATCGATCTTTGCCACAGCAGTCAGTTCAATCGATCTTTCATTATTTCAAAACAACCCGTTGGCAATTTGTATATCTATCGAGAACGTCTGTTACTAGCTGATTGTCTTCTGAAACAGAAAGTCTTTATAATGTGGATCATTTCATGAAGAAGTTTGGATTGGACGCTATAAAAGATGCTTGCCCTCAAATTTATACGGTATTGTGAAACTGTGTAGCTTAGGATTTCTAAATTTATTTATGTAGATGTTTAGGCAAGCATTGATTTAGGATCAAGTTACGACGTCTTTGGAACTTCTTCGTAATGCTGGGATCAAAATTTGGATGTTGACCGGTGACAAACTTGAAACGGCCATTTGCATCGCAAAATCAAGTGGTCTATTTTCGAGGACAGATAACGTGCATGTTTTCGGATCGGTTAAGAATAGAACTGAGGCTCACAGTGAGCTTAATGCTTTGAGAAGGTTAACTTTTTTGTTTTGCCGTGAAGAAGTTCATAAGTATTTTCAGTAAGGTGAATTCTTGTTTTAGGAAAAGTGATGTGGCTCTTGTGATGCAGGGGTCTGCTCTTAACGTCTGTCTTCAATATTATGAAGCTGAGGTTATTGTGTCTTAAAATTTGCACTGGCACATGCGCAGTTTACGATTTCTGTTTTTATTATTGTGAGCGTTTCATTAGGTTGCCGAGCTGGTTTGTGCTTGCACCGCTGTTGTGTGCTGCCGATGTTCTCCTGAACAGAAGGCTCAAATTGTGCAGCTTTTGCGCAAATATCGCTCTCCATTACGAGTTGCAGCTATAGGTGATGGAGGGAATGACGTAAGCATGATACAGGCTGCTCACGCTGGAATTGGAATTGACGCCAATGAAGGTATCACGGACTTTAGTGGAATGTTCTAGAAGCGTCATATGGACGTTATGACAGTTTATCTTCAGCAAGTGCAATTATCTCATTGCCGTTTTTGTTTAGGAAAGCAAGCTTCCTTAGCAGCAGATTTTTCGATAACTCAATTTTCGCATGTTTGCCGGTTATTGCTTGTTCATGGTCGTTTTTGTTACAAGAGATCATGTGCGCTTTCGCAGTTTGTCATGCATAGGTCAGTTAGTATCTTCATTATTTGGCGATTTTCTAGCGTTAGCTGCACTACTTAAGTTTAATCATAGCATAACCCTTCTAAGTTTTCAGAGGTCTTATAATTTCTACCATGCAAGCTATTTTTTCATGTGTATTTTACTTCGCATCAGTTTCGTTGTACCAAGGAGTATTAATGGTTGCGTAAGTTGTTTCGTCGCTAGTTCTGACCCTCTGTCATTATTATGTTGAGAAAGTTCACTCGTTTCAGTTATTCCACTGCGTACACTATGCTTCCTGTATTCTCTTTGGTTGTTGATCGTGATGTTACTGCCAGTAACGCACTAACATATCCAGAACTGTACAAAGAACTCGGAAAAGGCCGATCGTTGTCCTACAAAACGTTCTGCATATGGGTCATGATCAGCCTTTACCAAGGTAAGTATTGGGAGGTCACCTGACAATCTTCGATTTTCTTTCAAAATGCAACCGTTATTTATTAGGAGCAGTGATAATGTATGGAGCGTTGTTGGTATTCGATGCAGACTTCATCCATGTTGTCTCGATTTCTTTTTCTGCACTTATTGTCACGGAACTTATAATGGTCGCAATGACAGTGCACACCTGGCACTGGGCGATGTTACTCGCTCAGGTGCTGTCCTTTGTTATATTCTTATATTGAGGGTTCCGAATCTTATGGGGAAATACGATTTTAGGCACTATCTCTGGCACTTTACGCAGCTTCACTGATTGTGCTCGACCAATATTTCGACCGGCAGTTCGTACTTTCGTGGATATTTATCTCGAAGACTACAGTGATAACAGCTGTATCTTGTCTTCCTTTATACGTTGTGAAAGCACTTCGGCGAAAGTTCTCTCCTCCTTCTTATGCTAAAGTGAACTGACATTTTAATCGGAGGACTTTTTTTCATGTATTGTTGTCGTGATTGGATATTGTCTAAATCTAAATTATTTCTCTTATAAAACGCTTGGGGACTATACAAGCGCTGTAAATCCTAAAAGTTCTGTACGGATGTATCGACATTAGTGCGACTTCATATTCATTCGGGTCATAAAATTCAGTGTAACTTTCACTCTTCAAGACGTTTTGTAGTCATGTTAGTTTGTTTGGTACCAAATTATCTGTGATTTCACTTGTGACTCTCATATAAGCTTCATTTAGCTTTACTAGCCTTCATTTAAGTGGTCTTAAACTATGTTTATCAATGCCGAGATGGAAAACGCTTTTTGTTTTAGCCTCCTTGATAATCATAGTTTTACTGAATATATGTTAGTGTTTTCTTTTTTTTTTATGGAACATCCGGTGTGAATCAACCGAGCACTTTACCAAGACATCCGGTTTATAGGAAAATGAAAACGCATGGTTCTCTAAACTGTAGTGTGGCCATTACTGTGAAGTGATGGATGGTTAACGTTTTCAAAAGTCGTCATGACCAGGTTGGTTTTGTTTCCGGTGGGACTTCTCGGGCCGAATTTGAATATTCCGCTGGATTTCCTGTAGTAGATGCTTTGATAAAGAGGATCCATTCCACCTCATCGCATACCTAGTAACATTTTATTTTGAAATTAGTAAGCCACTTTTTCTTATTTTAATACGCGAGCACTCGGAAAGCGTAATCGTGGTTTGATCCGGCCCGAGGTCCAAGTTTTGCGGATATCTAACCATCATTGTAAAAGGCTTTAGTTATTCAAGTTGGAGTAATGTAGCTAAGAAAATGAATTATTGGCGTTGTGTGCAGAATCAGTTATGCGTTGGTCTGTGGTTGGTGTGGGTACGTAGGCAGAGACCTAAGATAGGTTATGTTTGCTTCCCTAGGTGGACTAGTGAGAAGACTAAGCGTATTCCTCGAATTGTATGTTCCTATGGCTCCAGTTACATATTTGGAGCTTTCACATACTATGGGGATATTGGATGTGAAAACTGCGGTTTCGAGTGCACTGGAAGTGGATGTTCTTTTTTTTCGGTACCTTGAAAGCTGGCTACCGTTTAAAATGCTTATTCAGGGCGGGGATAGCGCAGTGGTAGTGGCGCAGTTTAACCCGAACGGGACCCTTGTTAAACCTCGCCTGTGTCAACCAAGCTTTCCAGGGCTGGGAAATTGGTAGCAGACATTTTTGGACCGACTCTCTCCATCCAGTCCATAAAAAAATATGATCTTCCTGTGAATACCCTAGCACGGCCATCGCAGTATTTCCAGGAAAAATCGACTTGATCAGCTTTTTACGACATTCATAAGAAATGAAATCCGCAGACGGCGACCGAAAGAGTAACATGAATGTTAAGACTCTCGTGCACGATGGATGCGAGGAAGCGAGTTGAATTCAAGAAGTTCTGGTGTCCTTATGATGTGTGATGTTGGGTCATGTGAGAAGTGTATATTGCTTATTATTAGTTTAACTAACATTTCTGTCAGGGAAGATCACTGTGCCGACTTCTAGTTTGAGGTAGAAATCTGGGCGGCGTTCACTTTCTTCTGGCTGGGCATCTATGTCGTAGTCCTCGTTCCTAGATGTTCTCATCACCAGAGTTTTAGTGGACCATTTGTACTATCTTTCAATCAGAAAACTTCAATACTCCTTTCAATCCCTTCCATACCATTTTTTATCAGTGTTGCCTGCTTTTAACTTCTGGTAGTCGATGAAGGGGTATTTTTGTGAGATCTTCCAAGTGATGGATTTAGGTTTACATAATTCCATAACTTTTCCATTTGTATGGTTTTGATTGAAGTCATGGCATACATAAATATACATTTGGAACATTCATACCAAGATATTCGCCTACATTGATACACACTTGAAGTTGACTCATTGGCAAGGGCGTGACCTCTAGAGGTCATTTGTAAGAGGGTGTTGCGGCCGTTTTAACCTTCATGAAAGTCATATCGCCTCACAGTGGTTCATTTTGGCGCGGCCAATCGAAATTAGACGTTATGGCGAGTGTATTATGTCAAACAAAGCAACATAAGGCGTTCATTCTGATTCCGTGCTGCCCAGATGGCCAAGCCAAAGATATTGTTAGTTTTGGTCCGAATTTGGTTATCATCTCAATGACCATTATAGTTCAAGCCATCGTAAGTAGTCCATGTCAGGGTTCGCCGAAGGCATTTGATGGCATACTTATGTTTCGAGTGTTTTACCTGGAATACCTTTCTAAATTTTTGTGTTCACTTGTTTGGAAGTGCACACAGGATACAGACTATGTTGGCTTGTATTTCGATTCTATTAAGTGTATCAGCTAACCTCAGTGTTGGTCAACAAGCAGTTGTTTTTGTGAACTGCTGTTGGTGAGCTGACGAAATGTTACATTTTTGTTTATCAGCATGGCTGTTGATAACCTCATACCAAATCAAAAACATTTTATAAGAAGGAAATAAAAATGCGCTAGAGGTGGCACATAATGCTGTCAGTTTTTCTTCTGCACATCTTTTCTCCTGCCTTCAAACTTTGATTTCGTGGAAATTGAAAAATGTGTAGCTTTGTCTACATGAAGAAGTAATTTCAGTTGTTGTTCCATCGTGAGAACGCAGTTGCTGTACTTCGATGGGGGTGTGTTTGACCATCGCTTGCTACCTGATTACATTCTCCCCTTCAGCAGCACTATTCTGTCGTTTTGTTGCCAAGGATCCGCTGCGGATAATTCTATTCGTTTTGGGGTGAGTGGCATGTTGTAACTCCAGTAAATGATAGTCGCAACGTTACCAGAAAGTTTAGAGAGGTGAGTGTATCTTGTCTTCATAACAGATCGATCTGTTCCCTTTTGGATTTCGTCATGTCAGGGTGTTCGAGATCGCTAAGCAGTTGTTATTTTCATGCACTCGCTAAGTAATACAGTCGTTATGTTCCATGGAATGACTCACGCATTCACCAATTCCCAAGAGATGGAATATGCTTTGCTCACCTAGAGGCGCATTTGACATCAACTGCAATGGCGTTGATCACTTACAAGAAACCCACTAATTTTCACTGTTGTGACCTTGTTTTATAGGCAGCTTGAACGGCTTTCTGAGAGTAGACGTGGTGTCCCTCGCACAGACACTTAGGCATGCATGCGACTACATGTTTACAGGAAGTAAACGAGTAGCCTATCTCCCGAATTCATTTGTGTATCAGTGCGCTGCCAAAGTCTGCTTCACATAACCCTCCGGAGTAATCGGTTCGAGCTTCTTCACATGGCCAAGGACTTTATTGGAACTTCCTTGCGAAATGCGAATGTTGCATTGGTATGTTTGAGATTAATGGCGCATTGAATGGGCTGTCTCTCGATATCGTAATTCTCAAAGCAATCGAAGCAGATAGCAATGTTTTTTTGGCTCAATTATTATTGTGTTAGAGGTTTTTAACTGCAAGGCAATACAACAGATATTGTGGGGCAGTCAGGTATATATCACTGCTGGTCTCTTGGGAAAGTACTTATAGGTTATAATACGCAATGTGCATTTATTTTCTCTTTAGTGCTTTCTTCTGGTTGGCATCTTTACTTCTGAGTTCTTTCATTTGGTTGGCGATTTCAATGTTAGGAGATGCTCTTCCAATAACTCTAGTTTGTTCAATATTTTTGCAAGATGCAGCTCGTATTTTCTACTTTTGGCTGCTGAAGAAGGCGCAGAGGTAGGTATTTTTTGTCCTATTCTTTGCTCAGAATCACTTATAAGCAGTTGCAATTTTCAGTCGTTTGCTTGACAGTTTTTTAATTGAGTTCGATAACTGCGTACTTTCTCTGAGCGCTCCTTCCAAACTGAGTTTAATTCTCCAAATTTCGTAAGTGGACGGTGGAAAGTTAAGGGTTAGCCTTGTGATGATTCACTGATGTGTTGTTGTTGGGATTTCATTGATTGCGACTGTTCTAATCTACTATATTCAAGAGGTCTGAATAAAATTACCCGTCCTGGCACAACATCGATTGCTCCTGGAGTTTCAGATCTACACAACGCAAGGCACATGCTTGCTCTGGTAGGTTTACGCTTTGAGCTAGGAAACAAAGGCTCATTAATAAGTATAAAGCTGTTCTGAAGTTTCCTACGATTTTTCCATGTATTTTTGGAAGGTGGAGTTTTAAACAAAGATTAGGTGGATTTTGAAAAGCATCATGTTTTTGTTAATGTGTTAGGTGTACTTTTCACTAATGCTGTGTGGCTTTGTTTGCCGAAAATTGAGTCGAACCACTGACTTTGCGTGGTATCTTTAACCACTGTGCTGCCCACGCCATGGGGAAAGAGCGTTAAAAAAGTGTAAATGTTGTTGTAAGTGGATACGATTTTACGTAAATAAGAGAAGGCAGAGGAATAAATTTAAATCGGTTACAATACGCGCAAGGGAATTGAGACGGACTCGAGTGAGGGCTGCTTACTTTTTGTTCATCTCTTACAATTTCATCTGTGAATCATTCTCCCTATTCCACCCTCGTTCTAGGTCGCTGCAAAGTTGTTGATCAACAATTAACCATCTACCCTTCAATCGGGAAAGCGGAATGCACTCTAATTAATTTGCTTGAAATCATCTGAAGAAGATTCATTTGTACACAGTATGTAATAGGTTTAAAGGTATGTGGCCTCGGTATGGGAGTGATGGCTGCGCTTGTGCTAACAATGAATGTTTTCGCCGAATTTGCTGGTCCTGGCACAATTGGTCTTCCTCGTGCTATGGAAGTGTGTTTTTTTTCGTAAATTTTTCTCTTCAGAAATTTTATGCCGTTATAAAAAGAAGCTCTTAACAATTTTTTATTTCCTAGTTAATTGTAATCGTACTGCCGAAAAGTTTTTGTTAAGATAAATAATCGTGACGTTAAAACCGCTGGGACACAGCTTCCTCTCTATTATGCTTTGTCGGGATGTCTCACCTGTCTATTTAACGTGGTCTGGACCATAATGGTAAGTCACCTAAAGTTACATCATCAATACTCAACACTGTAATAGCATCTTCTATGCAAAATTTGATTACTTTTCTTTTAAATAGTGTAACTTATTATCCCGACGAATGTACATATGCAGTTGCGGTGTTTTCAGTGTTACTGCATTACATTAATGTATTGTATATTAATGTTTTTTGTTCATTGTCATGCATAGTTACTTACCCTCACAACGGTTTCCTGCCTCATCGCGGCTGGGATGTGTTCCTAGGCATCGGACTGCGATGTACAGCGGGGGATTCATCCCTCCGGCAGGGTCTCCCAAGCTGAGAAGGAGTCCTGCGTTTCCATCAAGAAGCACAACTAAGAGTAAACCAATACCAGGATCCACCACCATCCTGAGATCAAACTAGTCGCATGGTGACAAGTCTCCCTCTGATCCACAAGGGCGGCGACTGGCTGTGGTGGTGGCGACTTTGGGCAGACATTGGGATGTCTGACCTTGGGACTCCAGGGAACTACAACGGCTAAACCACCAAAACTCCGTAAAAATAGAAATTATGCTAAGGCTCGCACAACCAGTGAAGAGGGACCATCAAAGTATCCAAATAATAACTTACTAACTAACTTACTTGATACTTGAACGGCTCATCATCACTAGTTGTGCCGGCTCCAGCATAATCACCATTTTTCGGAGATTTGCTGGTTAAGCCATTGTGGTTCCCTGGAATCCCGAGGACAGCTTGGCCAAAATCTGCTTCAGGTTGTCACCACCACAGGTAGTCACAGCCCTTGTGGATCAGAGGGAGATTTGTCACTATGCGACTAGTTTGATACCAGGACGGTGGTGGATACTTGGTATTGGTTTGCTCTTAATTGGGCTTCTTAATGGAAACACCGGACTCCTTCTCAGCTTAGGAGGCTCTGCTAAGGCATGAACCCCACGCTGTAGATCGCAGCCCGACACACTGAAACACCTCCTAGCTACGATGAGGCGGTAAACTGTTGGGAGACGTACATAATTGTCTGAAATTTCTAGTTATTACGACAGATCGGTACTATCCCTGCGATAATTTATTGCAAGTCTGAGTGTTTGCATTTAAAATTGATTCACATTTTGATGTGCAGTTTTTTTGTTTAGCTATAGAAAGAGTATCCTTTTAGTTATTAAAGTTTTTCTTTCTCCTTTCAGTAATGCTTCGTTTTCTTTTATTTTTTCATAACTAAGTAATACTGTTTTTCCCTGTCTTTGCAGTTTTGGGATTCGTGTCACAAGGTAAAGCAGGGACAGTTTTGGGCTCTCCCTGCGATAGTTGCAACGGCAGTCCACATTATTGCTAGCATTGCGGTAGGTTTAATTTCATTCTTTCCGCTTCGGTGTTTAAATTCGTCTTCTTCAAAGCTCTCAGTTGCTGTACGTCAATTAAAAAGCGCTGATTTCAGAGTTGGTACAACTCATTTGGTCATCAACCAATCGTTCTCTCCATCCAATTTAGTCTTCTATTTTGTTGCATACTCTATTCGCAAGTAATTATGGGCGGGACACTGCATTCGATACTCGAAGGTAAGTATGGTCACTATATAGAGTTTCTTAAATATCTGTTTGAATAATTAAAGTTAAGTGCAAGTTGAGATACGTCGCATTTCAGGTGTGCGTTGTGCATTGATGGACTGGATTACGTTGAAGTGGTTGCGTGAAAATGTTTTGAAAAAAAAACATGGTTTTTTTTTGTCAGTTGAGGAAGTGGAAACGGAAGAAAGAAGAGAGATGTACACTTGATTTTAAATCATGTTTAGTTTCAAAGGTTTAGTCTACGTTACCCAAATACTTGTTGCGATTTCCGCAATTGTTTTCCAGTGAACATGGATCTAGATGCAAATTTAACCTCTTTGAGAATCTTTTGACTTCCCAGGCATTGGTGAGAAGCCACTTGCAGTTGGTGTATGTCGACTATTTAACTAGTTACCTATTTTTCATGTGTTTATCTGTTAAGGAAAAAACTAAATCTTCAGGAACACAGAATGAGGAGGTGAATGTCGAATTGTTTAATCCTAATCTCCGTTTATTGATCTCATGTTTGTTACATTCGTTTTATCTGGTTCCAGTCTACATGTATCACGTGAATTTTTGTCGAGACTTTCTGAAATCAATGTTGAACTATTTATTACGTATACTATGGTTTAATTTATGTCTGGGGAAGTTTTCTGCTACTGTAGGAAATGAACTATATCAAGTACTGTCTCTTGGTGTTTGTTCTTCCATGCTTGGAATAAATAAAAAGGTTATCAATCTTATATTAATGCGTAGTCATATTCATGTTCCATCAATGATCGATGAAGCTGGAAGTGTTGCACCTGCTTCTTTCGAAATTAGTTACAGTGGCAAACAAGGCGAGTGATCAGTGACTTTTCATTTTAAGTAGAAATAGAAGGGACCAAATAGTGCAGTGGTAGTGGTCGTGTTCATTGCGCACACAGCCCGATATTCTCACGGCGTGTTTCGACTCTGCAGTGCTCATAGAGTCGATCATCTTTCATGGCTCGGGAAATTGGTACCAGACTTCCTTCAGAGAAGCCCACTCCCTCTAAATCTCGGGATTGCCGGGATTGCAGGGAGAGTCCACTTGACCAATATTCAACGACGTTCGTGACGAAGACGGAAAAATCCTTAAGCAGTAGCTGAACCCAAATGCGAACAGTTCATAGACCTTCATGGATGGTGAATGCGAATGAGGGAACGAATCGAATGCGAGAGGTGCTGGGATTCGCACAGTGATAGATGTGGTGGCAGTCCAAATGAAAACAGCACGGCAATCTCGGCGTTCCGTAATGTATCACACTCATCTAGCATTCCACATCCCATTCATAGGAGCAGGCAAGAATTCTTCAAATCGTATAGATGATAGTTGTTACGCAACGAAAGAAACAGAGAAAGTACTTGGATCTGCACGTTATGTGAGGACAGGCAGTGAAGTAGATATCTAGTGCAAACCGATCGATTCCGGAATATGCTGGAGTCGACGTGAAGTAGTGCATCCTTTATTTTGTCCTCCATCTGATATTGCGCTAAGCAATTGAGGAGGCGTGGTTTACGTGCGCATTCATCAGTGCAGTTTGTTGTATAACAGCTGATTTGGCTTGTGCAATCATTGGATCAATCCGCCAACTCAAAAATAATTCAAAAACCTGTGAACTGGAAGTTCTTGGATTGGACAGCGGGCTTATTTTTTGCATGCAAGTCGATCTACCTCGATTTTTCCTTTTCCCTTGGGTTCTTTGATACACTATTTGAACATGTAAAACGAAGTCGAGCATGGTACGAATATAATGACAGCAAGAAAAACGATGACAAGTGTAGGATATCCAGTGACAAGCTTCTTCACCAAATGGTTCACTTTTTGCTGACCAGTAGCAAAGACCAGAACTCCATCATCTGATACTTGGATACTTGGATACTTGGACGGTCCGTCTTCAATAGTCGTGCAGGCGCCAGCAAAATCTCCGTTTTTTTCTTCTTTGGAGACTTGCCGACTGAGCCATTGTGGTTCCCTGGATTCACGAGGTCAGCCTGGCCAAGGTTTGCAGCGGATCGTCTGATAATACCTCATGAAGTCGACATACTTTTCTGAATCTATCCGCCATTTAGTCGTCATGCGTACGTTTCTCAAACTGTACTATAACTGTAAGTTGTTCACCTTCCACTATACAGTTTTTTGTTCCAAAACAGGAAACAACCTTTTACAAGCGACATATTGAAGTCGAAGGGTCGCTGACAGGGTAATCAACTTTCGAGGTATGAGTGTCTCAGCATGAAGCGGCGTAATTCTACTCAACATGCCGATCAGGACATCGCTGTACATAGATCGCTCATAGCCCTCATCTATGAGGAAAGCAGAATATTTCTTCAGCATAAAATTAGACTCCATCTCTTTCATCAGTACTTCATCAGTCATGAATATGATTCCTGTCTTATCCGAACGATTTCCTTCATAATATATTTAATAAGAAACTTTATCAGGTGCACCTAACTCTTCCCCATTACGTTTGAACAAAGAAATAGCGGCTACTCCCTGCGGCTCAGTAACCTCAATCAATCGCTTGCATAATCTACTTCGTAAAGAAACTGAGTGAGAAAGTGACAACAATGTCACTTAGAAGATGTCATAGGTTATGGCTTTTCACAACGCTATTTTTGAATTATGGATTTGAGGAAGTCCTTTCTCCATCAGAGGCTGCAAACGCTGGAGTTACTCATGTTCGTGCGAAGTACTCCTGCAACAGTAGTATCCTTCCTTTTTATCTACTGTTAGGTGGCACCGTAATCACTGCTGCAGCGTCTGTAATCGTCTGCTTTGCAAGCTCCACTTCAACTCCTCGTTTACCGTATAGTCCTAGTTCCGTGGTCTGAGTGAGCGAGCGCAATTTCTGTCATGAACTGGCCGTCGTTGGCAGAGTTCCGGCCGGCTCGGCTACTACGACAAGCCGGAGCTGTTGTTCACACGCACAGATCTCGGCAACAAGTCGTGCAGATCCGATCGCTCCGAATGAGGTCACCTTTACCACGTTGTAAATCGGCATTGTTGCTGATTCCAGTTGTAGACAAGCTGAAATACCAGTGCAATAACGTGTCTGCTATTTCATCAACTAAATGAAAGTGGTCGAATTCGAGCGAATTAGTGGAGTGTCGGAAAAAGTGGCGATACTCGTGCAGTTTAAAAGCAACGGATAAGTGCTAGAATCTTCCTAACATTACCATAATCTACCTACCGAAATATTTGAGTAAAATACACTTGCGAGATATTCGTCCATTGCAAATTCCCTCAATGTGGAGTTCGGGATAAAAATAGGTGTCCCGTTGAATTTTTACATGAGTCAAGAATTCTTTTCATTTCTAACCACGTTTTTTTTCTTCAGTGACTTTGCATTTTAAAGCAGGGCTTGGTACTATGTCGTTTTACTTGCATATACCGTTGGTAAATTGTTTGAGGATTTTCGAAACCTCTTCTTGGCTTCTCGGATTTACATTTCGTAAGATGAGGGAAACCCTTCTGCTAAGGGTCGTGCCCTTCGACAGTCTGTGGCTGAAAATTCAAGAATACACCAAAAGACGACTCTATCAAATCCGACAATTTGGGCCATTAAACGCCTTCTTACATTGAGCACAATGCACTTGCGCAATATTAACTGCCGCTTTCAACTCCAAACCTGGATATCTCAGTTGAAATAGAACAAAAAGCTTCGAAATTCTCAGATATATGCCTAAAAGATACAAGTTCTCTAACTGTGCGAAAACCAAGTCGTGACCTTCTGGACTCTGTGAAAAATACTTCTCTCCCACCCTTCCCCGCAACCCCCCTCCCTTATTGTTTCAAGGCTCTTATTTTGAACGCGTGAAGGAGGAACAAGCTGGAATCCTTCAAGCAGGACACGGCGGTGTTCTCCAGTGTCTCGTTTGTTTGCCAGCTGCCGCTCCTCTGGTTGGAACATTCGACACTTAGATTTCACTATGAAGTTTGTGGGAAGTTTAATTCTAAACATGAACATTTGGAAGGACACTGTATGGGAATAGGATCAGTGCGACAAAGTAAAGTATCTATTATAAATCTATAATGTCCCGAACTGTTGAAAAACTTTAGTCACCGAGAAATAACAGTCAATTTTTGATAAACCGTGTTAAAGAGTTATGTGTCCAATCCGACTGATGATTGTTGGACACTTCGTACTATGAAAAACTTTGAGAGGAGCAGCAATGCTAAGAATTGCCTTCATATAGAAAAAACTATGGGACTTCTTACAGGGGACGTCATCCAAACAATTGGGATCCCGTATGTGCAGACTCTGCTGGAGGATAGGTCAATTGCGCTGTATAAATGATCACCCAACTGATGGCTAGCGATACATTCCTCAAGAAGATGATCCACGATTAGGCATAGATTGTTATGAGTATACAGAAATCGGAGATATCTCGCTTTGCAACCAATTTCACTACACATTCATGTGTTCCTGATCGCTGATGAAGATATTCCAGACAGAGGCGGTGCTTCAAGAACGTGTTATAAAAAGACGCTGGTCATCCGCATGACGTTGTAGTCATGAAGGACCATCTCGTCGATGATGATGAGGCCGAAATGATCCGTTTTCGAAGGTGACTTCAACACCATCATCTCTTTTTGTTTATTCTTATTTTCATAATCCTTCTCAACACGTATTACTACAGGTCCGCCTTCTCTGTGGTCACTATTTCTACTGTGACAATCCTTGGCTGTATTATCCTCACTCCTCTCGCCTATCATAACGTTCAGAAGTTGCACAGTACTTTACTTAACGACGCCCACTTCTGTAAGGTAGGCCAACTGTGTGTTTGCGTATCCGGACGTACTGTGATACCGGTCGTCTTTTTGCCGCGTCGCACAGCTCTTCTCGCTGTTTCGGAAAGAAATTGCTCCTCCCTGTAGCGTAGTTAAAAAATTTCACTCGATTGAAAACATGAATTAGCAATACGGACGATGTTTTGTTTAGAGTCGAAATCGTGATCTCTGGGGAGAAGTTGTGACTGTTTCATTGGGAAAAGGTCACCACGAAACAGTAGAGCGGCTGAGAAGACAAACAATAGAGCGGCCAGCAAGTCGATGGCTCTTCGGTCACCTGATAACTACGAATACGAAGTTAGTTAATCAATGCGTATCTTAGTGATTTTTACTATACATAATATGTTATAGCCGTGAACGGAGGCAGGGAAAATACCAAGCAGAGGAAGCAGCAGGAGAAGCAGGAGCTGGAGGAAGTGGAACATTACCAGAAGCTGGCGCAAATGTCAATCAATCTAAAAACTTAGTAGCCAATGCTTAAATATAACACTACTTCCAGGTTCTTGGAGGAGGTCAGGGATGCTGTGGATGTCAAACTGGCCCACCTGGGCCGCCAGGAGATCCTGGGGAAGACGGCGATGATGGCAAAGATGGACAGCCTGGAATCAGCGGTCAACCTGGACAGGGTGCTCTAGGGGAATATGCTAACGAAGAATTATTCACAACGAGTGAATGCTTCAGATGGATCCCGCTCCTTTTCCACGCAGTTGGCGGTTCCATGTGTTCGAGAGTGCCCTCCCGGACCACCAGGAGCACCAGGATCGCCTGGCGAGAAAGGACCTCGGGGCTACCCAGGAGAAACCGGAGAGCCTGGAACACCAGGAAAACCGGGAGAGAAGGGACCGGCTGGTAAGGCTGGATCTCCTGGACCTACTGGGTATCCAGGGAGAGCAGGAGAAAAGGTAAAAATTATTTGCACAATTTTAAGTTGTAGTAAGTAATTTCGTATTAACGAATGTTTTAAAAAATAGATAATATATACAATTATCGTCAGGGTGAGAGTGGTAAAAGTCTTCCGGTGGAAGCTCCTCCTGGTCCGCCTGGTAGGCCCGGAGAAATGGGACCTCCTGGACCTCCTGGTCCTCCCGGAGAGAAAGGGAGACAAGGAGAACCTGGACTGCCGGGAATCCAAGGAGATCGAGGACCTCCAGGTTTGTTTTTTAAATGGGAATGTCGAACTGTTGCAGGTATAGGCACATGAAAACATTGTTTTAGGACCATATGGTAAGCCTGGAGGTGCAGGACCTCCCGGACCCGATGGAATCCCGGGAGAGTTGGGAAGCTGCGAACATTGTCCTCCGCCAAGAACACCTCCCGGCTATTAGGTCACCTCGATAGAAATCCCTTCCTTTCTCTGCTGATCTATTTTACCACTTTTTTTTCCTAGTTTCTACAATTTCTTCCATAAATTTCAAACTGCCCAATTTCGACATTTGGTTTTTAATGAACAGCTCTCTCTTATCGGTGGAAAGTTGTCCTACGTACTTTTGCTCTGCTAAGGGTTATTCCATTTCTTCTACTAGCTTTGATCCTCCCTTTTCCATGACAATTTTATTCGTTATAAGTATGATGAGAAATAAGAATGAAGAATCACTGTTTCTGCATGACAAGTCACACGTTTGGGTTATTCCGAAGAGACCTTGTCAATGTACTCCTTGAACTCTGAAAAAGAGCTTTTAAAATCAATGTCTAACTGAAAACACTCAAAAAATATACGAGAACAAACACTAGGTAAATTCCCAAGTCCAACTTTCTATTAACCTCGGCATTGATTGAATATATCTTTCTACTTCTGTTCAGCAAACACGAGGTGCTATTTTATTTCTTTATTTACGCACGAGCTGACGCTTCGGCGGATTTCGCCTAGGTAAATTACTAGCTCGGATGCTTGGTCAACTTGTCTTAAGGCAGCGTGCTGCTAATATGGCTATTTAGCCCAACTGTACACTGTAGTGCTACGTAAATGTGTAGGTAGTAGGATGAAAAGAGAATATACCTCCGACGAACTGCCGGTGCAATAAAGAGGTCAGGGTCTGCCAGTCGATTGGTTGTTTCCTTAAGAGGTTCCCTTCCCCACAATGTTATTTGTGTTCACTGAAGGGCTATATATCTAGATACAAACAGTATGCAGTAGTTGGATAATTACACATAGCGATCCGTTCTCTATCCTCTAGCAAAGTTTTCAACAAATGAAAAATCCCGTTTATTCGCGGGTTTGTTGCTCGATGTTACCCTTTGAGCACTGGAATCTGTTTCATAGCACCTCTCGAAATTATAAAGAAGCCCTAGCACTTGATATCGTTTTACAAAAAGGTATATTCTCTTTTCATCCTACTACCTACACATTTACGTACAACACCGTACTGCTCGGCGAGCAGATCACTCAAAACAGAAAGTTGCAAACCATAATTCAGATGACATTGGAGTTTACGGTCTTGACAACTCTCTACATGTCAGTAACTTTGCAAAAAGACTAAAGTTCTGATTAGGTATATTCCTAGTAAAAAAGGTAAAGGATAAAGCTCTCGGCGTTGATCAATCTCTGAGGGCTGCGCCATGCATTCTACTTCATAATCATCATTTGGAGGTGATTGAGCGCATATCTTCCCTTCACAATGTTTCGAGCCAATGCTGCTATTCTCCCAGACAAGTATGGTACTAATTTGCCGACCCCGGAGGGACGGAAGGCTTGGTGGGCCAAGGGCGCGTCAATCGACCTCATGTGTATTGCAGAGCGCCTCCGACCACTGCGCTGCACACGCCCCATTTATATTCCAAGTAGAAGAAAGAAGCACGTAGTTATTGGCAATGGAATGAAGGTCAGGTTAGGAAAGGTTGTGAATCCCGCGCATTTCTGCATAAACCTATGCTCAAGAACTTGAACCAGTAAGTTCAACGAAACACGCTGCTGAGCTTTGATCAGCTCTTCAGAGATGATCTTCTTGAGCTAACAAATGCTCAACAAATAGTGGATTTTCCAGCGAGTGGTAAACCCCGGTTTCACAAGTGCCGAAGTCAATTTTTAAAAATGTATCGTGAATAATAAGTGATAAGTAGTAAGATAAGTAAGAATCGCCAGATTCTGTTCAGCAATGATGACCTTTAGTTGCCGCACGCTTCGTTCTCGAATCATAGTATTAGGCAGGCTGGTCAGGGAACATGAAGACAAGAGATAAACTTTGCTTATGAGTTCGGTACCCATGCAGCGAACATTCACTATAACCGCATACCCTTCCTATCTGTGTTTTCCATATTTAGCGATTATCCAGAACGCATCTATAATGAAATATTAGATATCGAATTGTCTTTTCCTACCGACACAACACTGTTCTTTAAACATGTAGTTCTTCAGCTGTACCCATTCGTTGTGATTTAAAATACCATTCAAAACGATAATCTCCCACTTTCAAGTTTTTTCTTCTGCTGCAAGACATCTTGGGAACTGCTACAAGGCATTTCATCCTGACGGACTCCCACAAATTTTACGGCAAAACGACATCAGAGATGACATCCATGGCTTCAGAGTATCATCTCCTTCCACAACGGTGGTTATGTTGTATTGTATTGTGTTTTGCTATGGAAGTAAATGTGTGCTGTTTAACAACCTTGCGATTGCTGAACAAAAAAACGACGCATTCATAAGTTCATAGTAGTTGCATTCATGGATAGGAGAATATGATAACTTAGTTTTATTAAACGACGAAAAGCCGGGGTTTCCACAAATATAGGTGAGCATTTTGTAAGCCGCAGTCGCATACGGTTGATGACTTTAATCAGCTGTTCTAACCTTCCTCATTGGAAGTCACGTAAAAAGCGGCTCTGAAGAAGGTGATAGTGCCGAAACGTCAGCCACTGTTGTATTGTATTGTGTTTTGCTATGGAAGTAAATGTGTGCTGTTTAAAAACCTCGCGATTGCTGAACAAAAAAACGATGTATTCATATTTCAATGCCAAGGTTAATAGAAAGTCGATCCTGGGAACTATGAACTTATTTGTCAGTCTCAGCAGACGGCCATAGCTCAGCAGCGTTGGAGGTACCCCGACAACGCTCAAACGCGTAAACCAAGTATCGGAGAACTCACCATTGAAGCTAATCTTCTTATCTCCGTCCTTATCGGCCTGATTAATCACGTTGATGAGAAATTTCAAGTGAGTCTTGAAAACGGGATCCTTCTTGTCATCCTAAATGTGATCAACACTGTTGCAGGCATGCATGGTCTCAAGAGAATCTTCTTAGAGTCTTAGAATTTCAGCAGTGAAAACTTTTAGCTCTTTTTGTGATTTCTTTTGTCCTTACTTCTCTTTTATAATGTCATTGCTTTGTTTGTTAATAGACCTCCAAAATTTCCCAGAAAGGTCAATCAATAATTAAGATGCTTGACTTGTGTATATTAATTGGTAGTTTATTTAGCATCAATGAAATTAACTTAATGTTGATCAGTTCCATAAGGATGCGAAGCCCTAGTAATTTCTAATTTAAGGCGGAGAGTGGACCTCAGCTATGCAATGAGCTGTGAAAGTCCGCTCACACAAAAAATTGGTTGATCGTCTACGTGCGGATTTTCAATCGGAACTTCACTGCCTACTTTTACTCATTCTGATAAGGAAGGTTCGGCCTCCAAAGAGCAAGGTTCAGTTTGAATAACGCATTAATCATGAAATCATTAAGCATGTTCTAAAATGTCTTGCGCATTCTATGATAAGAAGGAATGTATTTAGATCTTGCACTTGGCTGGTCGGATGATGGTACGGTAAAGTAATTTTGCTAAATGGCACTCGTCACCAGTCCGACGTGTGTGTCAAATTTCAGAGAACTGTTGGCACAGTCCAGTCATAAATACTGTATTTTTTCGAATCAATTGAAGGAAACACTTTTCTTTCTGCATTTCCACAATCCGATTAAAAAAGAGAAAAAGCATGTCAAGTACTTTGTCTGCTCCGAGGAGCATGCACAGTATGTCGTCCTTGCTGATGTAGCCCGACATGTCCTTGTCGTGAGTCCGAAACATCTCACGCAGCTCCTGTTCTATAAAAACTTTATTAATTACACATTTTTCCGACGATTTAGTCCTTAACCTCTTATAAAATTGGGAACCCTTGTGTTCTTGGTCTCTATTTATCATTAGTATCTATATATGCGTACACGGAAGTGTTTACTAGTTTTGAAAAAGCACTTCCTACTTATGTATACCACTAAGCATTTCAGTGAGAAAAAGATATTACTTGACCATTCCAACTACTTGGTGAAACCCTCCAAAAGTCTGGTGGAGGACGATCAAGTCAGACAATGCGGTGGACCAGAAAGTAACGGTAAATTTGACTTAAACATGTGCGCACCAATGCAGTAAGCTATTCCCGATTTCTAGTGCTTTCAGACTTTTATTAGCTGTCCTAAGTGATCAAAATGGGCTGAATTCGAAATACCGACGCTGAGATCATTTTTTCTATTGCTTAAGGACCTTCAACGGTTCCGTTGCCGGTCCTCTAATCACTCAGAAGTTTTAATGATTTCAATGGCTATGAAATGGTTTGCTTTTCTTTCGTGATCAATAGCTAAACCGATAAGGTTGCTTGCCAGCTGGGAATTTGAGAGAAAAACTCACCCCAAGAAGCCATCCTGTCGATACACAGCAGCTATGTTAGCACTCGACTGGGAAGCAGACAAGGAGGGCGACGGCAAACACCCGGAACTATCTGGAGGAGTGACAACAAACACATACCTCCCGACTGTGTCACGAAGGAACGAGTTCTCTACGGCACACAGTGCCGTCGATTTGCCGAGATCATCTCGAAAAGACAGAGGCTGCCTGCACTTGAAGGAAGAATTCACCGCAAGCATTGTGCTCCACACATCGTGACTTTGCGAAGAGCATTCAGCGCTGAGATTATGTGAATATCGCGACCAACCTGCTGTAGCGACTGTGAAGCAAAACGCCGGCATGCATTGGGTACCATGCATTCGATGCGAGATTCATGGCCGTTTTTAACTTAAGCCAACTAATCTGAGGTTATATTGGTCTTTGTAATAATAAACCATTAAAATCTACAGACCTTTTCTTACAAACCACAACCCGTTGTGCTATACGCAGATAAAATTTTTGATCCAACCAAATTCTTTTTACTTTTTTTATTGAGACCTGAGGGATTTGGAGCACGAAAAGAGGTGAACAAGCGGGATTTTGTCTAGCTGCACAAAATGGTGGGTACGAGGAACCGTTGAAGTAGGATACTGCTGCGTTTCCATTGGAATGCTTAAGAATTTCGATTTCATCTTCGCTTTTTTGGGAGGAAAATGCTTCGCATTGGAAGAATTTTTTCTTGCACGATCCGCCTTCCACATCTGCTGTGCGGACCCCAGAAATTCTTGCATCCAATTCGTTTTCCCCGCATCCATCACCCATGAAGGTCCTCTGGCTTTTGGGTGTGGATTCTGCTGCTGCTTGAGGATTTTCTTTTCGTCTTGAATGTAGTTGAATGCTAGTCGAGGCGATTATCTCTGGATTCCAGAGATAGCCGGGCTAGTGGCGTAATATGATGCGCAATTGTAATACAAAGTGTAACAGTAATGGTGTAAGAGGTTGACATAGTACAAGACACATGTGAGGTTATAACAAGAGTGCAGTTAGGATGACATATTACAAGGCGCATGTGGGGTTATAATTGTGTTGGTTGCCGGGGGGTTAGGGAGTTAGTCGGATTTGTCTTTTGTCCGCCAACTGTACGTGGAATGCTCGACTTTCTATAAATTCGTCACGCGGGACTTTTTTTCGTAACTGCCGTGGACAACCTCGAGTTTGGTTTATAACAGTTTATAGCAATAGCAACAGTACAAGAATAATATGTAATATGTGACGAAGTGTGGTTTATACGTGATATATACGAGCGAGAATGAGATGAGAACAAGTGATGCAACTGAAGAGCTGGAGCGCTGAGGAACCAAGGGACTGGATGAAGACCGAACGAACGCTGCGTTCACTTGAAGACGAATGCCCATGGGCTGCCTGTATTACTTCTATAGTGGGTGGAGCTTTGAATAGCTCGTGGATGAAGGTTATCCGAAAGGCTACGCAAAGACTTATCAAAAGGTCATGTGAATGAGATGGAATAACGTGGGGCTTCACAGAGGAACTCAGAGACAGTGCTGACCCGGGTCATGACACGGTACCTGCGGAGGAGTACATCAAATGAGATGGTATGCCAGAGGCTTTTATCGAAACTACATGTCGAAGCGGTATAAAAACTTATACATTATGAATGGATAAATTTACTATAGTTATAAGTAAATAATTAATATAGGACACATGTGATATTGTAGAGAATAGGAACTATTTAAGGAATAGTTACTATAATAATAACGTTAGTCCACGGTAATAGTACGACGACTATTCTATTCTTACGAACCGTCCAAGTTGTGCTGACGCGAGGTTATTATCAATTGTTGTTCTTGTCGTGATTCAAACAGAAGTTCAAATGGTCCTCTTCGACATCTATGGACGCGGAGTGAACAGTGGCTGTAATACGGCTTTGAAGATGACGGTCTTCCAGACGTCAGCCACCGAATCACGACGACAATGAAAACAACTGATCGTCGCGTCGGCTCAGCAAGTGCAGTTCGTAACAATACGTATACATATATCGATAATGAATGCCGAAGTTTATAGTAAGTTGGTCTTTTGAGTTAGCACGATGACTTTAGTGTATTAAAAGAAACATGCATGGTTATGGTAAATCTAACTTATTGGTAAAGACTGAGAACGTGATAATGATAGCGTAAGATACAATGGTAGATATGCGAATCTAGCGTTTAACAACTGGCACTTACTAGATGAAATAAAGGCTAAGATGGATTAACTGCAAATATGCCAACCAAAAGGGCGCGTGTGGCACAGTAGTCGGAGGCCCCTTGCAACACACAAGGAATCGATCTCTGCGCCCACGGCTTACCAAGCCTTCCATCCCTCCGGAGTAGGCAAATTGGTACCAGATTTGTCTGGGAGGATAGCAGCACTGGCTCGATACGTCAATAGGCCACCGCGAGTCATTGTAAACGCCATGTAATGTATTCAATCACCTCCAGACGGTGCTTAATGAAGTCGAATGCATGGCGTACCCCTCAGGGATTCGTCATCGCCGGGAGCTTTATCCCTTTTATGCCAACCAAATGAATAAGATAAAGGCTCCTACGCCCCTTAAATGCATTCTGGAGTAGACGGTACTGGGCGTAGCCTCCAAGCTTCCCAGAAAGTACACGCCTATAGTCGCATCAGATAAGAAGAATGGCTAATGATTTTGCTGATACGGAACGTTCATTAGAAAGCGATGCAATAGTCTGTGCAGACAAGGTGATGTAAACATTGCGACTAGTACCCACGTGAATGGCATGGCGCTAGCCATACCTATACGGGGCGGAGAAGGTCGTAGTGTCGAGCCAACAGACGATACTGACTTGCTAGGTGGTTATGGAGTGGTACCTAGGAAGGGCAAGAACGCGGGCCTAGTGTGGACTAACCAAGTACACGAGATTAGTGATAAAATAGAGACTGTTTTCTATGGGGTAGAAATACCTACCTACCTTTATACCCTTGTGCCGGTGAAGTGGAGCACCGTTAGAATCGAAAACTTCTTCCCTCAGAACAAATACCTTGAAAAATTTGAAAACCACAGAGCAGGAGATTTCAGATGCAGACTTTACGTCTTGAGTTTAGAAACCTACTCCTACACCATGTCCGTTCAGTTCTAGATTCATTGACACACTATTATTTTTCCTTTACTTCCACCATTTGAACATTCTCACTAAAATCCACACCTCACCCACATCATATAATCGCCAGAGTTCAACCAATGAACGAATAGCAGTTCCACGGGAATCAGGTTGCGCACTGGTAGTGAGCCCATTCATTACACGCACGGTCCATGCTAACTAGGCGCTGGTTCAACACTCAGGATCACCAAATCTCTTATCCCCTCGGGGTTGGAAAATCGGCACCGGAATTGTCAGTGATAAGCTAGGTCTCGCTAACTGACGACGAACGCCGTAGCACGGCTATCACTAGATTCCATGGAGAATCGACCTGACCAGCATCCAAAGACATTCGTGATAAAGATGAAAAACCGTCAGGTAGCAGCCGAAATCACGCGCGAAAAGTTCGACGATTTTCGCAAATGGTGGATAAGAAGAAACGAGTCGAATGCAAGAAGTACCGAGATCCGCACAGTAGGTGTGACACACGTGATGTAGGGTCACGTAACAAAAATGGAAAAATAGTAGCTTCGCTATCGTTTGCAACTGTTTCGCCAACATTTTCAGCCATTGGCATGCGTCTGGTTAAACGATGTAAACTCTCCTTTGCTAGGAGCTCTAGCACTCGGAGCTAAAATCCGAACTCGGCCCAGGTCACGAGGGCATGGGTGGCGTGACGATGGCCCGCCAGTCGATTGTGCGCTCCGTTGCACTTGCGTGCTGTGAGGGGATCCACGCAGTTTTGCTCAGCGCGGTTTCTGCAACGACGTGCCAAGTTGTTCCTTTTTATGGTCCTTATAGAGGTTTCAGAACGTTATGTCACTAAGGATCGTCGCAACGAGTCTGTGTAATTATCAATGGGATACTTGAGATGAGATCTGCCACTCGATATGTTCTTTCCAGGGAACAAATGTTGGTGTTATTTGAAACGGCTGCAGGCTACGCGTTATTCAGACTTCTGAATGAGAAAAAGCTGAAAAACGTGGACAATATCTACGAGGAGTTCTCGACAGCGCAGAAAGCGCAAGAGAGGTGAACCATCGCCTGATATACTGCATTTCTTTGTTTCAAGTGTTGCTCTAAACGGGACAAGTTTCAGTCTTCAACTAATTGCGTTCAAGAAATTCAAAAGTACCGTCGAAGCAGTTGAGAGTGCATGTGCCCTTCAAGATGGAAAGCTGAATAAGTCTTTAAAAAAACTCCTGAAAGGGAAAATCGACGAGAGCGAACAACTAGCCGTAGGAGACGCGAAATTGGGAAGTTTGATTAAGGTTGGTTCATCCTCCAAACTATTCTTTTTCCACAAGATAGCTGAGATATTTGCAAAACTCCGGGCCGCAGCTGTCTGCGGTGGGGAACGAACGCGCTATTAGTTTTGCAGATATCTCAGCGATCTTGTGGTTGTATTTCGCTTAATACCCTTCCATAAAAACAATAGAAAGCAGAAAATAAAAAGTAAACATTACTCTTTTTCCATTTACTCTTCTTAATACAGTTATTATGAATCAACAGGTCTTCGGTTATAACGTGTTGATTGTGGAAAATGAGATGCGAATATTCTTGTGCAGAGCTTCGTTCGCGTCTTTTCATAAATCAACAGTAGTCGATTTTTTACGTATTTTCTTATTTACTGTGTTCACCTTCTCCCAAGCTGAGGAGTCCTGTGTTTCCATCAGGAAGCCTAGCTAAGAGTAAACCGATACCACGATCCGCTGCCGTCCTAGTACCAAACTAGTCGCGTGCTTCTGGTGATCCACTAGGGCTGCGACTGCCTGTGGTGATGACGACCTGGGGCAGACTTTGGCCAGGCGGACCTCGGGATTCCAGGGAACCACAATGGCTTAACCAGCAAATCTCCAAACAATGAAGGTTATTCTGAGGGCTGCACAACCTGTGAGGACGGGCCATCCAGGTATCCTAATACTATCCTTAGAGGAGCTCGTTTATCGCTGTGTTCAGAGGAGCCACACATGGGATCGATCTCCGCGCCCCAGGCCCAGTAAGCCCTCCATTCTTTCGGAGTCGCCAGATTGGTACCAGACTTGTCTGGGAGGATAGCAGCATTGGCTTGACACATCGGTAGGCGACCATTGTAAAGGCTAGATGTACATTCAATCACCTCCAACGATGCTTGGCGAAGTCGAATGCATAGCACATTCCTCAGGGATAGATCAACGCTGAGAGCTTTTTTTTTTGCCCTTAAGGTGTCCATATAGAAAGTCTCTGCCACTAAGTTCCTGTAGTCACGAGAGACTCAAATTGCCCAGAAACCCGCACGTTCGCAATTGTCCTTAGTAATACAGCTAACGCACAATGTTGTAGGATAAATGAGAACAAGAAAAAATGACTTCAATCGTTTTTCATTAGGGATCTGTGGTTTTTAAGAGAATCCATCGTTAGAAAGAAGTTCATTTCATTGAAAAAAATTGTTGGAAGTATATTCTTACGTCTCTTATATTAACGCTTAAGATTTGTAATGTATTTGAGATAGCACGTGGAACATTATAAATGTGTAAAACATGATCGTCCATTGCTAGTAGTGATAGTAGGTAGTACAATTGGAGCATTTGTTTCACTTTCAGAATAAGCATAATTCAGTTGAAAAGGAATAGTTGAACTTTCTCTTGTATTTCAACGAAATATGCCTTTTTACCACTGATAGTTCCAGCTTTATTGGAAACCCAGATTTAACCTCTCCATTTTGGATTAAAATTCGTAGTGAATCTTTGCTATTTTTCTTTTGTAATAACATTTCACCTAATTCTTTTTTGTAGAGTTGTCAGTAGTTTAGCTGTATAATAGGGAAGGGCTCATCTTATCTTATTTGTAACAGTGGATTGTTCTGGAATGGTTTTTTCAACATCTTAATTTGTCTAATACGACAGGGTGTCGAGATTTTCACGGGATTATGTGAATGACGATTCGAGAGGGGTCATCTTTAGTCACTGGGTCTTAATGTTATGTCTAAAAGTTTAAGGATAAGATGGAAGTTCCTTGTGTGTATTCGCCCGCAGTAGCAGAACTGATGCGTGGTATCCGTGCTCATATCGACTCGTTGCTTGGTGAACACAAGGCTGAATTAAATGCCATGAATTTGGCCGTGGCACACTCTCTTGGTAGATACAAAGTTAAATTCAATCCAGAAAAGATTGATACCATGATTGTGCAGGTTAGTTCCACTTACTGAAATGGTCTGTTCCTCCTGGAATCGTACTCTTTCTTAGGCCGTTTCCCTCTTGGATGATCTAGATAAGGAATTGAACAATTATGTAATGAGATGTAGGGAGTGGTATGGATGGCATTTTCCAGAACTTGGGAAAATTGTTCAGGATCACCAAGCCTATGCTAAGGTTGGTTTTTCCACTCATTCGCATGCATTTTCGTTGGAATATATTGATTTTAACACCATAGAGATTTTTTACTTGAGTTACAGGTCATTAAAACTATTGGTATGCGACAAAATGCAGTTGATGCTGATCTCTCCAGTGTTCTTCCAGAAGAAATGGAAGCCAAAGTTAAAGAAGAAGCTGAAATTTCTATGGGAACAGACATATCTGATCTAGATCTTATACATATAAGTGGCTTGTGTGATCAAATTATTGAGCTGTCTCAGTACAGGTAATAATTAACATACATATTTGAAGTATCGTTTTGTACTTGTGTACTTGTTATTTAATGGGAAATTCAGTAGTTGTGTTTCAGAACTCAGCTTTTCGAATATTTAAAAAATCGAATGACGGCTCTCGCTCCGAATCTCACTTGTCTTCTTGGTGAACTTGTTGGTGCACGGCTGATCTCGCATGCTGGATCTCTGGTTTCTTTGGCGAAAGCTCCTGCTTCCACAGTTCAAATTATAGGGGCAGAGAAGGTGGTTTTTCTGGAGTTCTATCACGTATTTTCAAGGTTCTTGTATCGTAATTGGGAGTGAATGCTACTTTAAGGCGCTTTTCCGAGCATTAAAAACCAAAAAGGACACACCTAAGTATGGATTGATCTACCATGCTCAACTCATCACCCAAGCTCCACCGAAACTCAAAGGGAAGGTATATCTATTTCTAGTTTGTAATTTATTTTTTGTATGAAGTAACATAGCAGCGTTGTTGTAGGGTCTTTTTGAGATTTTCTGCCAACAATTTGGTTTTGCAAGTTGTGATCAATTAAGATGGCTCGAAAGCTTGCTGCGAAGTGCGCTTTGGCCACTCGCATAGACGCATTGGCTGATGAATCAAGGGGTTCAGAAGTAGGAATGGAGTGCAGAGCTAATCTCGAGGCAGTTCTGAGAGTGGAACAAGAACGAGGACCGAAGAAAATTAGCGGTTATTCGCACAAGCACGAAAAATACCACTTTAAGAGGTAATTGAGAAATATGACTTCGTTTTCATCCTCAGTGTTCTTGTCATAATTTTCAGTGAAACTTTCGAATATGACGCGGCAAATGATGTCCCTAAAAGACCCATGAAGAGGAGGTTCGATGATGATCAAGGAGAACCGGCGAAGAGGCCAAAGGTTACACATTTTATTTTCCTATTTTTAAATTCACCAATGGCAATAACTTTTCATCTATTAAGTCGAGTTGTAAGTAGTGCCCAATTTCGAATGGCGACATAAAAATGTTACAATTCGACTTAAAATAAGTTTTCTCATAAGTTAAAGATTACATTCTGATAGACTAACTAACGTTCCGAAAGCGACGAATTCTTGGTTTGTTCTTCTTTCAGTAGCAACTTGATTGTTCAAGGCTTTCCTTCTGAAGTAGATGGCGAGGTGCTCGGAAAAGTGGTAATTTCGTCGAGATGTTGGTTCGATGACGATGATGGATAAGGCAGGGTTGTGTTGCCCGACTTTCATCTTATGGAATTTAATTGTGCAAAGTGTAGTCCAGCACTGTCATACAAGATGATTGTTCCTTTTCTGTTAACTAGAGTTAGGTAAATATTCCGTGGTAGCACTTTTCTGCAATCTTGTTTCTTGGTGTAGAAAGCTGTAGTGAATTAATCAAGCTGCTGATCAAGGAAAGGTCACCAAACCCTCTTCTGGTGCAGATTCGACCTTCGGAAGTCTTTACAAACTTCATTTCAGTCGAACTTTTGATCTCGTATCTTTGGTTTTTGTATAAGATCCACTTTCCATCGTATGTCATCAGTGTTAGAGTTTTCCTTTTTTTTTTTTGGAGAACCACCTTTAGTTATCACCTTTAAATGATCGTCATCAACTGCTGATGTCTTATCCGACCTTTGTCGTTACGAAAATTTACCAGGTGCAAAATTCGTCGAACCGTTTACTCACTTGGAGTTCGGAAACGCTTCCTTAACAGCTTGCTTTGATGAACTTTTGTGTTGCTTCCGCATCAGTACGGCTAGGTTTGAACCCATGGTTCAACACGACACGAACTTCTTGCTTATTTTAGTCGGCATGAAATCGTTGTAAGTCAAGTTATAGAAAAAATACGACAGTTAGTTAAATAAGGAACCAGGTTTAAAATGGTATACCTCAACGATGCAAGCAGTTGTTATTATTTTCTATAAAATCCATAAAGAGGAAAGCGGTAATTATCTTTGACTCTTAACTTATTCCCTTACACAGGTGGAGGAAGTCGAAATTGAGGAAGTAGCGACATTGTCAGAGAAAAAGAAGAAGAAGAAGGAGAAGAAAGTCAAGAAGGGAGACACTGAGGAAGTAGAATAGAAGTGTATCTTTAGTGTTGAATTTTCTAATTTTATAACATTTTTATTTTCACGTTGTTATATTTCCATGTCATTGCTATTGTTTGGCGTTGTTATTGTTACACATTTATTAGCAATTTCAGCAAGCTATGTTCACCTATGTTCATGGCATCTCAGGCTTATATATTTCTCGTTCTTCAGATCGTCTTGTTAAAGATGTGAACACTCAAAGGTATTTTTGTACTTGTAGACAGTATCCGATTTACATATATGGCTCCATCATAAGGAATCCATGTAGACCACATCAGAAGTTCTACGTGGCTAGCAATTTTTTGGTTAGGCATGATTTTGTCTTAGTAGGTAATCCAGGATAGTTTCGCTAGAGTATTACGAGATCATCACTACAAACAGTTGCTGAGCTTTATAGATTGGGGGAGGCTTGCTGTCTTGTGACCAAGTTTCTCCTTTTTTTCTTATTCACTTCCAGTTGTGGTTTAAGATAATATCGCTCCGAAAGTATGGTGGTACTGTGGGAATTAATGAGTTTACAGCATTTGTGAACAACGAGCAATCCTTGTCAAGGTAGGGTAGTAAATTTTGGAGAACCATTTGTTAAGTTCAATCTTTTGACTTTTACAAAGCCATGGAGCAAAACATTAATAGGATATAGCGTAAATCTTGATTAAAGCACTATTCTCACATTTCATGCGCTACCGTCTCAGAATGCATGGGTACGCCTTCTTCCTATTCCAAGAGGGTATGTTTCCAATTTTCCACCTCATGTTAGTATTTGGACCCAATCAAAATTCCTTTGGAGTGGCAAGTGCAAGATGCGACTCACGTCTGGTTGAATGTTACGAGAGTGGTTACGAATAGTCGGATAATCTATGGAGGAAAGTTATGGTGATGGTAGTCCTGAGTGCACAAAAAATTCGTAATAATGATTTGCCTTCAAGGAGGAAGCGATTCTTATTGTAGGAAAAGTTGATTTTTAAGTTGCATTTGTAAGCACTAAATCTAAGCTTGTCGTATAACTTGTATTGGTTTCGAAGGATTCGCCTATGTATGCACCATCTCAATGGCTTCCTTACCTTAACATGGCGATCGATATCCTTGTTTGTTGAACTGCATAGCAACAGGCTTCAACGAATTTCGTCTTCAAAGCCTACACAGGTTGGATCACATATGATGTTGATTTTATAGCTTTCTTAGCAAACACGTCTTTCCTCATGCTGGCGTGAGACAAGAATGAGTGAAGGCTTTAACGCACGGCGTTCACTTGGGCCATCTGACCATCAACATGAAGAAAAATGGTACAAGTAATAAAATACCACATGATTTTTGGATTTTTTCAATTTTATTTTACACGACCCGTCTTTACATCTGCTGTGCGGATCTCAGCACTTCTCACATTCTATTCTTTTCCTCGTATCCATTGTCCACGAAACTCTTCCGACTTTACGTGTGGCTTCGGTTGCTGCTTGAGGATTTCCCTTTCATCTTGAGTGTCGTAGAATGCTGGTCGAGTAGATTCTTTTTGGAGTCCTGAGATAACCAGGCTAGAACGTTCTCAATTGAATTGCAGAGAGTGATTTTTCCCGGACAAATCCGGCACACCAATTTCCCATTTTCAATTTTCGAAACACTATGCACGATTTATTTTATAAATAGATCATTCAGGAACAATTCTATTTTACTGGGAATTCGTATGAAGTGAGGATATGGTACTTGTATTCTCTTGGTTTAGGTAGTTTGTAGAGCCTTGTGGAGTAGTATGTGATACTTCGTATTCCAGGTTAACCGTATGGGGTTTACGGGAATTCGTGTAAAATACCGTCATGGTATTCGTGTTTTCTTGCTTCTGGTCGTTTTTTGTATAGTCTCGCGGAAAGGTACTCGGAAGATCGTCAGCCGAGTCGGTTGAATGAGATTTAGCGGAATTTGTGTGAAATTCATTGATGATATTTGTAGTTCTTTGCTTTTCATCGCTTCTGTAGTCTCGTGGAGTAGTGCTTGGAAGATCATCATCCAAGTCTGCGAAGTGAAATTTACGAGCAACCTAAAAAAAATTCTGTCATATAAATTAAAATTATGTAAAATGTGAAGGTAATCTAAATCCCCTTCAGCTGAGATGTTGTGGAGTCAGTTTTCTGTATCAGTGTATTGCACAACGTTTATAAGGAGGTTTCGTTGTTGCGTGTTAATTCTGTGAATCGGGTCTTCTCGATTCACAATGATACGCCTGATCTATTCTCAGATTGTTTTTTTTTTAAATGACCTGTCATTACATCTACTCTGGGAGCCCGGCAATACTTGCATTCGATTCGTCTTCCTCGCATTCACCGTTCACATCGTCCTTTAGAACATTTCGCATGTTGTTTCGGTTGCTGCTTGAGGATTGCTGTCTTCCTCATGAACGCTTTGCTGATCTTCGTTGCCGTCGTAACGAGGCGAATCGAGTAGAGCAAGAAATAACAACTGCTGTGAATCTGGACTCGAGTCATCGTGGTTGTGATGAAGGGGAAGAACGTTAGCCGTAATAAAGATTTATAACAACCTCATGTAAGCTCACCAATAAAACAAATTATTGATTATCCATATCGAACTCTAATGAAAGTCGGAAGTGAATGTTTGCTTTGCTCTATGTCAACCAATACTAATACGACTGCTGTAGGATGGATGTCACCAAAGAAGCAAATGATTTCGATCGTAAACCGCGCAAACAACGCCTAGTATCCTGGCGAAATTTCCGGATTAGGTTAGGTCACTTCAAAGCTGCTAGGGCCCTGTATAAAAGGGCAGCGCTGGAGATGCTAATTCATTTGTGCGGTTCTCCACTCTACTCGACGCAACGGCCATGACCAAATAATACTAGAAGGATCTACTGCTGCGGACGGTCGACTCGAATCATCGTGGATCCAGTGAATGCTGAGGCGCCGAAACGTTAGCCATAATGAAGATTTATAACAACCTCGTGTAAACTTACCAATAAATCTAATAAGCAAATAATCTACTAAACGTCAAATTACTTGAGACAAGACCAGCCTGCTCGCGTTACATCCATACCAAACCATAGCCATTGGACAAGGTAGCATTGGAAGATAGCTCAACTTTGCGAACTTCTCCGCTCCATCCAGTCATGAGTAGCGTCACGCCGTTCGCGTGTGGATACTGGTCGCACCGTCTACATCACCTTCCTTCTTTATTTCATGAAATAGACTTTAGTTGCTGAGTTATCTGTTCTCATAAACAGTATTTGTATTTATACTGCATGACTCATAAATCTTTTGCACAAGGTCCCACACTATGCTTGGCGCAAATGTAATTCACTGTGTATACACTTCTGAGCTTCACTTCAGAATTGTTTTATTAATATTATGTACATAAGCAGTTCTCCCAACGGTTTAGCGCCCCGTCGTGGCTGGAAGTGTCCCTATGTGTCGGGTTTTCCATCAGGAAACCCAGCCGAGAATAAACCAGTACAAGAATCTACTACCGTTCTGGTATTGAATTAGTCACATGATGGCAAATTTCCCTATAATCCACAAGAGCGGCGACTCCCTGTGGTGATGACGACCTGGGGCAGACTTTGGCCTGGGTGACCTCAGGATTCCAAGGAACTACAACGGCTAAACCAGCAAAACTCCGAAAAAATGGAAATTATGCTGGGGTCCGCACAACCGGTGAAAACGGGCCATCCAAGTATCCAAGTTTATAAGCAGTTTAATCCTTGTATGAAAAGGGATCTGGCGTACGGCTGTGAGTCAAGAAAACCCACGTGGTAGAGTTAACACACGACGACGAAATTTCACCACAACGTTGTTAAAGGAAACCAACTCGTATTTTCTAAATAGTGATTGATGTATTGCCTCAATCTATTTAAGAACCTCTTCTCTTGTCCGCTGTTCAGCATGTTCGAATTCTCGTCCACTTGGCTCCATATTCCAGCCACTGACTTTTTGCTGCCTAAACCATACACTCTATTTTGTGCTCCTAACATAAAACCAAAGTGTTGGGAGATATTAGGACACTCAGTCAAAAGTAAATAGATGCCAGGAATCGTCGCCATCCTGGCAGAAACTAGTCACAGAGTAGCATATCTCTCACCATTTGAATAGATGACTATTGCCTGAAAACGTGCTGCACATTTTTCTGAGAAATTGAATATCAGAGCAACATCAGACCATTTGAATACGGACATGTGAAAACGTTTCAGTATTCAAGTGAGTGATATCGAGGCTTACCTTTAAAAATGTTCTATCATTATAACGACTGGGAAGCTGATATATCTGATCTGGCTCTCCGGATCATTCCCGTTGAGGATGATTACTAACAGCATCGACGAAGTATAAGTATGACGAGAAAGGCAAAGCAAGGACTTCAGTTGGTTTGGTGGACAGCACATGAGCCACCATTAAGCGTAATTACGACTTCGAAGACCACCTTTTTTTCCCGGTTTTGCACATATCCCAGCATCCTGATCGTTGTATCTCACACCGTACCCTACCATGAGAAGAAGAATAGGCAGAAAAAAGAATGAAAGTTAAAGCATTTTGTTCTGTCATCACCCTAAATTCATTCGTTAGAGGATTTAAATAAGCTAAGACATGAGGGTATAAGTTCTGATGACTCGCTTGAATTTTACATCTATGGTAACTATCATTGGTTTTGCCTTCAGTTTAGAGAACTCCTAATAATTCTTATATACAGGTATAGGAGAACCGGTTTGCTCTGCATGTTCATCAGTAAATCTTCCGCTTTTCCATCTATACATGGTCTGGAAAACGTTGGTGATGTAAGTTTCGTTCATACCTGAGGCCTTTGTTATCCCCGAGGTTGCATCTATCTGTCGAGCAACAGCACAAGCTGATTGGGATTTTTTGAAACACAGTAGAGACACATCGATCTCTCGCCAGCTGAAAGTAGCTAAAAACATGTAGGAGCCTTTGCAAACCAAGTTAAATTCGGATCATGACATATTACAGTGCTTTAGGACTGCGAGCTTTTTCAATTTTTGGAATACAGTTACTAAAGAGTAGTTATTCTTCAACTACTATGAGACTATAGGACTGTTCCGTTCACCGTTTTCTTGCTTTGTTAGTACGTTTCTCACTGATATTTCTCGGAGATAGCATGCATTCGTGAGTGCCCATCTTTCCAGTTTGGAAAGAAATTAGGCTTACTGTGTGTATCTATTTAGTACATGCCTTGCAGTGTGCTGTATATCATGCTTGTTTTGGATATTCCGTTAAATAACCGTTCACCGACCACGACTTGAAAAACTACAGACGGAAATAGTAGTAATTCCCAAGCCGACGTTCTGTCAACCTCGAAATTGATCACTAAGCTGCTGTTTTCTTAATAAGCATGTATAAGGTTGTTCTTTTAATATTTTTTATTAACAGCTTATGTTTCGACGTATTTCGCCTCCTTCAGACAGGTCATGCAAACGGTTACGAACTGCTTAGCGCCTTAGAGTGTTCGGTGATCTTTCAACCACTGCTGCTTTCTTTAGACCTCCACTTTTAAAGCAAGGTCTTATGACTGTGCTTATTTCTTTGGAAATAAAGGGCAGAATAGACGGGATCTTATTTCCACTATATACACTAAAGCTTTAAGGGATAACGCAGTGGTTGGTGATTCCGTCGATTAGGAAACGAAAGGCAATAGTTCGATCGTTCGGGCGCTAGTTCTAGATGTAGTAAAACAGAATATTTTTGTTACTTGGCTTTCGGTACCACTTGGTGATGTAGCATTTCTCGACAGTTTCATTTCAACGCTCAGGAATGGAAGCCAATTTTCTTTTGGTTTTTTTTCGAGTAAAATTTGTTTATTCTCACTGTTGGTTCTTTTGCTGACACGACCCTTCGTTCAAACCTGCTTTTTCGATCCCAGCACTTCTCGCATTCAGTTCGTTTACTCGCATCCATCGAAGGTCTTCCGACTTTTTTTACATGTGGTCCGCCTATCGCTTGAGGATTTTCCTTTCATCATGAATGTCGTTTAATGCTGGTCGAATTGATTCTTCCTGGAGTCCTGAGATAGCGAGGCTAGAGCGTTCTCGCCTGGAATGCACAGAGCAGACAAGTCCAGTGCCAATTTCCCAGCCGCGCAGGGTTGAGAGGACTGGTGAGCCCGGTGGTGAGGGGGGGGGGGGGGGGGGGGGGGGGGGGGNGGGGGGGGGGGGGGGGGGGGGGGGGGGGGGGGGGGGGGGGGGGGGGGGGGTCGAACCGGCACCTTTATCGTGGTGATCGCCATCATTACCGCTATACTACCTATCCCTTGACTATTGGTTTAGCACCTCAAAACATTTGTCCAACTTATCTTTTGTTAAGTAGATGACCGAGCAGTCGTCTCTATACCTACAGTAGAGTGATGGACGATGATCGATCACGGGCTTCCACCTTAAACACAGGCAATGGCAAGGCTTGTTGCCATTCGCTATCCACATTCGTTGAAATAAAATTACTTCTAAACGTCTTAGAAGGTCATGAGATGCCCGTGAGAATAAAATATCAAATAGAATATCACACAAAGCTCCTCTTTTGTAGTATACACTTATTGCGGATGTTGGATTTAAGAAAACGGGAGTTAATTGGCTCGTCAATCAATTTAAACCTAATATGTTCTATATGGTGGCAGGTACTGACGCATTCCACTTAATGTCCCGTGGACGTCTTCACAGAAATGACATAAGCTGATAGAAGCGTCCTTTTTCTATCAAGAATTGCATGAAATTCATCTCGTTATATTATCCTGTACTAGTTGGTCGACTAATCGCTAGCTACAGTGGATTTGCCATACATAGGATCTTCTGTGTCTTAGTGGGCGCATTGTAGTTTTCTCACACACGCTTATATATTGCCCGTATAGTGCAAGAGGTGCGTGTAGCGCAGTGCTTCGAGGCGCCTTGCAATACACATGGGATCGATCTCCGCGCCCCAGTCCCACCAAGCCCTCCATCCTTTCGGAGTCGCCAGATTGGTACCAGACTTGTATGGGAGGATAATTGGACTGGGTCGATACATCGGTAAGCCATTGCGATTCGTTGTAAAGGCCATATATGCATTAAATCACCTTTAACGTTGATTAGTGAAGTCGAATGCATGGAACATCCCTCAGGGATTGATCAACGCCGAGAGCTTTATCCTTTGTCCTTTATAGTGCAAGATCCTATTGCAACGTCAACTGCATAACGTTACAACTGTTGATAATTTCGCTCTGTAGTTGTTCACTATTAATGGTTAACTAAAAGTTTATTTATTCTTTCTTTGATGAGCTTACACGAGGTTGATAATGATATTTATTTTTGGCTAACATTTTGATGTCTTCGTCTTCCTCAGAGCCGATGGTCCGAGTCGATGGTCCACGCTCGAACAACGTCTTACGTGCGCAAAACCTCGAAGTAAGCGTTTTCCGAGCGATTCTCTCGAACAACGTCTAACCTGGGCATAATCTCGGAATAAGTGCGCATCACAGGTATCCACCATCAGCAACCTGCATAAAAGGGCATCACTGAGTGAGGATGCCTCAGAGATGGCTCACTGAGGAAGACCTGACTCGACACGAAGACGAAGCTGCCACGTCGAGACGAATAACAAGCGTGGACCATCGACTCGGA